TATTCTATAAGTATTTTCACTGTAGTTCACATGTATTCTTATTTGTGACATTATTTCTAGGCTTTGCAAAAACGTCTATCATTATATATTTGACTTATTTGATTGGAATATTATTTTCTTATTATTGAGGTGTCATAATTAAAGACAATTTTTGCCAGTGAGCTATTGGAATGTCATTGTACTTATATAAGAATTACTTCTGTTGTTCTTTTTTATCTATTATTTTTTTTTTTTTTAGTATCGGGGATCAAACTCACCACCTTGCACTTACCAGGTAAGCACTTGAGCCACTGAGCTCAATTTCTAGCCCCTGTTTTTTTTTTTTTTTTGTTTTGTTTTGTTTTGTTTTTTTTTTTTTTAGACTGTACAGCAAAACCTTGTTGATGTTGAAATTTTTGATATTTATTTATTTATTCATTCATTTTTTTTTGTCTTTCTGAGACAGTTTTGCTCTACAGTTCAGGCTGATCTTGAATTTATTTTGTATCTTAGGCCAGCCTTGAACTCATGGGAATCCTCCCATCTCAGCTTCCCAAGTGCTGCGATTATAGGCGTATTGCCACCATGCTTGGCCTTGGTGCTTTTTTATAAGCATACAGTAAATATTATAATTGGATTTTTTATTTTTGGTAATTTTTTCCTGTCAAGACCTCATACTATAATATAATGAAACTCATAAAGTTAAATTTAATTCACCAATATAATGGAAAAACAAAATGTGGCTTTGACATATCCATGGTTATGCCCTCTTAAGACAAAAATATGTCATATTCTTAAGATTATGCTATGTCATTTTTATGTGTTATTTATTTTAAAATAAAAAAGAAGAATTGGAAGCTTGTCATAAGAAATAAATGATGAAAGTTTAAGCATATAGCTATATTAGTTGTCCTCAGTTGATCACTGCATAATCTACACACAAATTAAAAAACCACATTACAAGTTATTTGCAAATTTTGTCTTGACCTAACTATGTAAACAATTTGAAAAAGCTGTCACTTGCACATTTCCAAACAGTTACTGATAACAGCCTCCTTCATAGAAACAAAAATACTCATACTTTGCCCAAATATTATTAAAAGAAAAATAAGAATAACAGTGCACATATACAATGTGATAAATTATTCACTTAGCCTGATTTTGGAAAAGAAAATCTTCAGTTGTCATACTATAGCAGTGGAAAGAAAACATGGACATAACACATTTTGCCTTGTGATTTGTATTTCTATACAGTTGAACATACCACACTCTAACTGGTGAGCTGAAAGGTATGACTTTATGACTTTCTGGAAGAGCACACACTGAAAATTTTGCAAACTTGTGAATACACTGAAGCTGCAAATTTTTTTCTATAGTAAAGTAATTGTTTAAATTTTCAACTTTGCATTATAGTAAAACACATATTTCTTTAAACTCTCAAAATTTACACTCAAGCATAGAGCTCATATATCTGAAGCAGTTCATGAAGTTTCCTTGGAAAATTATTTTTAGTTGAGCTTTAATAGAGCTGCAATATCTTGAATTTGTTCAAAAATGTCTGTTAATGGACACTTTGACCTTGGGCTAGAGCTAAAATTTGGTGCAGGATGCCAGATTTGGTGCAAAGCTGAAGATTAAGATGAAAGTAATACAGAAGATTAATTAAGTGACACAGAGTTTCTGTTATATTTTGCAGAAATCAAAAGGATGGGTAATTTAAAGACCAAATTAAATGATAAATTTAAGAAACAAGAAGTTGAACATTGTGGTGATTGGAAGTAGATCTGAGAATTAGGGAAAGTAAAATAATCAAGAAGTGATATGCAAAAATGTGGAATAATGCCCACTGTGTCTGGGTTACGAATGCAAATACGTGCTCATAAAATCATGAAAAACAAAGTTATGTTGAGATGAAGTGGATAAGTGCATATCATAATGATTTTATTTGGCAAAAATTACTTGAAGTGTTTTGAATGTATTCAGGAGATTTGGGAAAGCATGGAAAGATAGTCACTCATAGTCTCAAAGTGAGTCACATTGTTTACCCAGAATTTAGAATGCTTTTCAGTCAGAAATTAGGGGATCTCAAAATAAAGAGCAATAGATAGTTTTGTGAAACAGTTTATGGTTGTTTAAGTAATGAATTGCCAGAAAAATTTCAAAGGGAGGAAAAATAAAACTGGATCTCTAACAAAGAGGTTTCCAAAATATGAGCATCTTTGATCAACTCTGATGATCATTAGCCCATACTCGGGTTCAGAAACTTTCATTGCATTTTTTAACATTTTAACACTATAAATAAATACTTGAGTTGGTGTGTTCTCTTTCTTTTTTCTTCCTTTTATATGTATTTTTTTCTGTTCTGCAAAGACCTAGCTTAGTGATCAAATAAAGCAATACGTGTGCAGCACACAGAGAGAAACTGGGCATTTCAGTCAGGCCATTGTGGAAGCATGTTTGACTGACGTCCTCCAGTCAAATCTAGTGCCACAGTAGTGGGCTAAGAATTTAGCAAATGAGATCATTTCTACTCCATTTACAGTCTCTTGTGTTGATGAAAAATACTCCACAGGTGGATGATAGCAGTCACTCTGTAGCTTTTGGTCTGTGCTGTACTCTACAGAAAGGGTCAACGTGGGGTTTGTGGTATGTGTATTACATCTCTATAAATATACATCGAAAGGAAGTAATGCTAAGTAATCTGGAGAAAAAGAATGAGTGAGCCCTTGAAGTACAAATGAGGAGAGAAAGATTGGGTAATGATTCTTTCAAGAGAAGTTTCAGTCTAACTACATTTTTTGTTTCAGGTAGACAAGAAAAGACAGTTAATATTTTAGACTAGAAGACTGGCATACATTGTACATATTATGCCAAATAAAATTAATTTGTTGTTTCTTTCTCACATATGTGAGTTGATAACCTCAGTCAAGGCTTAAACTCAACTTGCACTTCACTTGGGTCTGTAGTCACATGGGAAAATACAGATCCAGAAATGAAGTTAATTGCATGTTTGTACAACAGTGAAGATTAAGCAGTGTAGCTTCTGAGAGTTTAGTCCCAATGGCTTTCTGTTATAACAAAATGATGTTGGCCTAGGAATATTCAGTTATCAAAGAACCACTCATCACTGGTAAGTTCTGTAGTTTGCCAATAAAAATACAATGTGAAAAAATAGAAATGAAAAAGTATCAATGATTGGGAAAAACTTAGAGATTTTATATAAGATGGCATTCTAGAACACAATATGAAATCTAATTTTTGACATTGATAATGTCTCCTAAGAACAAAAAGACTTTTACTGAACTTATTAGTATTCACAAAATCTCATTGGGCTAAATTTCCTTTAGTATGGGAACATATCCATGTTTTCATTCATTTTAACATGGCTCTTAATATATACATAAATTATTATATATTTAAATAAATTTAAGACATTGCTCTTGCCTGATTAATACATATTGGAAGATAAAATTACAAACACATACCACATTAGAAATAAGAACATGAAAAATTGAAGTTTGTGGATACCATACAACAAAGAAACAGAATCAAAGAAAAAATCTCACATATCTATATATTTCATTTTTCATTGCATTTTTCATGTGCATTGAATTAAGAATCATGCACACATGAAAATATATCACATATTCATGAATATTCATACACTCAGGGCAAGCTACATATCTCTAACTTATAATTGTTCATTCTTTTTTTCAATTTTTATATACCTGATTGCTGTAAAAATATATTCATAAAAAGTGATACAATCCAAGAATATGAGTTTAAATGTTTTCTCCACTTGCATCTTAGCTTTTGTGCTGGAGTGATAAGAAGAATGATCTTTCCATCTTCAAACTACCTTTACATGAAGCAATGAACATTGTGACAAACTGTAAGATATTTTTCAGAAAATGTCAGTAAAATAATTTTGTGTCTTATAAAATACTAGAGAACCAGAAGAGTGGAATAATAATATTCAGCTTTTTTGTCGGTGATTTGAGAAAACAATGTTATAAATTAACCTAACCTCTTCCAACTCCAGGGACTTTGAGCTCTGCTAGGTCACAGGACAGTTCTCGAAAAAGCCTTGCTAAAGTATAGTGTAAAACAGGACTTTATCCTTAGTAAAATGCTGCTGGGAGGTGCTTTGCTAATATGTGTCTGAAATGCAGCAGGAGATACATTGCCAACATATGTCTGAAAGAATGGCAGCTTTAACCAAATTTGGTCCCTGGTATAGTTAAGCAACTATGTTCTCACTAATCTTCATGGTACCCCCCTCATTTGCCATTTCTGCTTGTGTAAAGAGAAGATGCTAATAAACAGGCAAAAAAATTATAATCGAGGCTTCAGTCATAGAGATTGTGGCCTGCTGCTCCTATAATGGTGTCTCTCTTGTTTTTTAATCTGCACCAACTCATTTTCAGAAACTGTCTCCTCACAGAAACCAATAGATGATATTATTCTTTCAAAAACTAGTAAATGATCTTTTAAAACCATGATGAAAATTGAAGATGACAAAAATTATAATTTTCTTGTCAGTGATTATTTTTAGAAATATAGCAAATACTAAATTATATTTCAGATCATGTAATATCCCTAATAACTGAAAAATGCAATTTTGCAAACCCATATTATTCAGAAGATATAAGATTTCATATATATATATATATATATATATATGAATCATATATGATATATATACATATGATTTATGATATATAATATATATTTACATATATAATATATATTAGCTGAAATAAGGGCAACAAAATTTCAGAGAAATTAGAAAAATATAAAAGGGCACACATATTATGTTTTATATTTATATTTCACTCAAAATCTCTCAAGTGCTGAATTGAGCTGCTGTTTTTAGTGTTCTGAAATGCATCCAAAGTGTCCTGGGCCACAATGAACAAGTACAGAATCAAAAGGATTACTGCCTTAAATATATTTTGCAATGCACAGAATGATTAGAATGTACTGGTTAATTTTTTTAAAGTTAGAGAAGATCAAGAAGAATGGAAGGAGGAAATTGCTCTGCCTTGAATGAATTCATTTTCTTGGGAATTACTGATAGCACAGATGTCAGAGTGACCCTTTTTACTATTTTTCTCCTCATTTATCTCATCGATCTCTTAGCAAACCTTGGAATGATGACTTTAATAATAGTGGATCCCCACCTGCACACACCCATGTATTTCTTCCTCAGCCATCTCTCTTTCTGTGACCTCTGTTATTCAACAGCAATTGGACCCAAGATGCTGGCAGACTTCATGACAGAGAAAAGCTCAATCCCTTTCTTGGGCTGTGCTCTGCAGTTTCTGGCTTTTTGTGTCTTTGCAGATGCTGAGTGCCTGCTGCTGGCTGTGATGGCCTTTGACAGGTACCAGGCCATCAGCAACCCCTTGCTGTACACATCCCACATGTCCAGCAGGCTGTGCTCCCTGCTTGTGGCTGGGGTTTACCTGGTGGGGCTCACTGATGCTCTGATTCACACCACACTGGCATTCCACTTATGTTTCTGTGGGTCTAATGAGATCAATCATTTCTTCTGTGATTTACCTCCTCTTTTAATCCTTTCTTGTTCCGACATACAAGCCAATGAGCTGGCTGTATTCATTGTTTTTGGAATCATTGAACTGAGTACCATCTCAGGAGTACTGGTCTCCTATTGCTATATCATCTTATCAGTCTTAAAGATCCGTTCTGCCGAGGGACGGTTCAAGGCTTTCTCCACCTTCACTTCCCACCTCACTGCAATCGCCATCTTCCAGGGAACCATGCTCTTCATGTACTTCCGCCCCAGTTCTGCCTACTCCCTAGACCAGGACAAAATGACCTCACTGTTTTACACCCTGGTGATTCCCATGCTGAATCCTCTGATATACAGCCTACGGAACAAGGATGTGAAAGCAGCCCTGCAGAAACTGAGGAATAGAAAATGGTTTTAAATAATTGTTTTATGTCTACATGTAACACTGATAGAATGATGTTGTTTTGAAAAATAATCTGTGTTGTGCATAATGAATTGGGCATACAGTACTCAAATAAGTGCTTGAACGAATATTTTACTGAAAGAAACTGTTATAGAGCTCCAGGTGTATGTCTTGCTCCATGAATTATTGGTAATTAATATGTGGTACTTTCCTGCGATAAGCTTTCTAGATTTTTCTCAATTGTGAAAATGTTACATTTGTTCATGTTATTATTCAATTTCGTGTTTATTAATAGCCTTTTGGCACTGTATTTTTTATGACAAACATAGATTATTTATTATTGAATCTTTTATATTGTGTTTTATTTTGTGTTTACTAATAGCCTTTTGGAACTGTATATTTTATGACAAACATAGATTATTTATTGTTGAATCTTGCATTCTAAGGGGAGGTGAAGCAATCAATTAAAATTAAAACTAAACTCACAATAGGGTTACAAACAATATTGGAGTAAAGAGAGCATAACTATAATTCAGAAAAAATGACTAAGTGTGATTGAGAGGAGAAAGATTTTCTTAGATATTGTTATGAACCTCAATCTTAATTAGACTCATGAAGGGGGAAAGAACGGATATTTCTCAGGAGTGATAACAGTTAGAGAAGCATGAGGTAGACAGAATTAGATTGATCAATTATTTTATGACATAAATGTAGTGTCACTGGTTTAGGACATAAAAAGAAATTTTAAATGACCTTGGTAGATTAGGTCTTTCAGTCGTCAGGGTCCCTATGTCTTCTTTCCTTTCCTTCTTTTTCATCTTCTCCCTAGTTAAATAGTTTTCTGTACCAACCAAAATCATTTCCCTTAAATTGTTTTTCCCCTTGTTATTTATCCTTATGTCTTAACTCATTATATCCTATGTGAGAAAATAAGCAGGTTACTATTCTTCTCCTTGTTTTCCAAAGCTCTTGCAACACATCTGAGGCACATAAATTTGGAAAGAAAAGAAGGAATAATAGTATATTTTTGAATGCTTACTAGATCGTGGTGAACAAATTTACTGAGGGTACAGTGTGTGTCAAATATACTCAAAAGCTCACATACACCTGCACAAATATCACCACCTAAAACTTTTATGAAATATCTATGAGTGAAAAAGTAAAATATCTGCAAAGTCACAAATTATAATTTCCTGAGAAAACTAAACACCCATCTGTGTAGCTCCTTTGTATTTCTTTGTATTTTTTTTTTTGCTGCCTATCTCTAGTTGTTTGATTAGTCAAGCACTGAATGAACTGTTTGAGAAACCATGGAGATATTATATATATATATATATATATATATATATATATATATATGAAGGCTAACATAAGACACATTTGTTTTTTAATTATGTCTTCCAGTATGAAGGAAAATACCAGGTTCATCTCAGTTTTCTTGCCACTATAGTTTAATTCTCAAAGTAAAACAAGTCAAGATAGAACTAAATCCAAAGGTAAGAAAGTGGAGTGATTCATATACCACTAATCCCAGTTTTCAGGGAAGTGGGGCTGGAGAATAGCAAATTCAGCTCATTTGAGGCTGCTTAGAAAATTTGGGAGAGGCTGGCTCAGACATAAATAAACAACTTAACACTTATGTGTGCACATGGGATTTGTATCTGAAACTGTTTTATATTGGTTAAGGCAATAAATTTCTAACAAAATTTCAAAGAAAGACAAAGAAAACTGGATTGCTAAAGATGGTTTCGAAAAGTACAGCTATTTTCAATTAACACAGACCATTCCTGGCCCATTTTGGACTTCTGCAATTTCTTATTACTATTACTTTTATCATTTTAGATTTTAACCTAATAAATAAACACAAGAATTATCTGTTTCCTTTCATTCTTTCTTTTTATATTGATATTTTTTTGCTCTGCAAAGACCTAGAACAGACACTGAGTATAGCAATGCATGTGCAGCTCACACAGAAACAGGGCGACAGACATTTCAGTCAGGACACTGTGGAAGCAGGGCTGCTCAGGTCCTGTGGCAGGAAACCTGGTAAACAAGATATCATACAAGTGAACCAAGGTTTAAGCAACTGTCTGGGAAGACAGGTGGAGAATAGAAAAGCCAAACTTTCACTGATTTTCAAATTTATGAAGAGCTGTTATAAATAAAAGCAAATGAAATTATTTTTACAAACATCAACTCTACATGATTTAGAAATATATTCACACTAGTGCTAAATGAACTATCCTTACACATATGAATTATGCTAGCAGAATAAAATCCATAAGTGTAATGAATTTGTATTCTTTGTTCATTGCACTATAGTATTGAAGTTCTTAACTAGTTAACAATGACTTTATTCTCTTACCCCCCAAAAAAGTAATAAGAACTAAGGAGTAATGAAATCCAAAATGTGTAAATTTTGTTGTAAAAAAGAGAGGGGAATAAAAGAGCTCTAATGGATATAACAGCAAGTGTGTTTAGGGGTGTTAAATAGCTGACTATATTAATGTTTTTTGATCATTGAACACAGCTGTTTTCAGTCTCTCTGTTTGAATGTACACTTTGTAATCTTTGATACTGTGATTTGAGCAACTATTTCTAAGATGATAATATGTAATCTATTAACAGGTGATTTCTTACTGTTTTTTTTTAGTTCTGTATTATGTGTACTGCTTACACCGCTTTGTTTTGTTTTGTGTTTTTCTCTTTTCCCTTTTAAATAAAATTAAAAAAAAAAAAAAACAATGAGTACTGATTAAGAACTTCCTTTCCAAATTCAAATAGCAAAATGCACAAGCACTATTTTTTTTGCAAAAGAGAAACAGTAACAACTTTCTTACATAAATTAACCATAGCTAAAAATAATCTTTCATTCACTCTGCTAAATGTAGAGGATGTGGCATAGTCATAAAATTAGTGAAATGTGGAAGAATGAAAAGTGGTCAGCAGTGGGAATGTACTGAGCATGGTGGTGTTTGCAGATCATGAATAAATGAATATTCATAGTATTATTAGCCTCAGGAGCCAATAATAGCAAAAATTAACAAGCTTTGTTATCAGTATGTGGATAAACAAAGCATATCTTTTTCCATTAAACAACATATCTTTTATCCATATAAGGGGAGGAAACTGAAAATACTGCATTGTGATGTATATGTAAAGGAAGGATTAGCTCAAAAAGACACAGACTGAAGGAATTTGTTTATATTTAAGTCCAAAATAGATAAACAAATACAGCAACGAAGCACCTTGGAGTTGCCCGGGACTGCGGGAAAGGAGAGGGTAGAATCAGTCCTGCTCTATGTATGCTTCCTCATTTGTCAGTGAAATAAGTAGAATCTGATGATCACTCTGCAACTTTTGGTCTATGGTACACACCAAAGAAAGGTTCAGTGTGGGGTTGGTAGTACAGGCATTTTATCTCTGTAAACACATAATCCTAAGCTAGTAACTGTTTAGTAATTTGGGGGAAAACAATGTGTGAGTACATGAAGAACAATGAAGAGTAGAAAGGTTTGGTAATGATAATTTGGGGGTTTCTTGGGCTTTCATTGCAGTTTGCTCTGTTGGGCCAAGACAAGACAGATTATAATTATATCAAAAAATTTTATGTATTAAGTGTATTATGTGGTACAACATTAATTTGCAATTTCAATCTGACATATGTGAGTTGGTATATATGGTCAAGGTTTATAGGCTTCAGCATGTGCTTCACTGATTCTTGTAGTCACAGGAAAGTCACAGGTCCAGAAATACAATTAATTACATGTTTGTTCAATAAAGAAGTCTAATAAAAGTTGCTTTAGAGAGTTAAATTCCAAAAGCTGCCTGTTATAATACTACCAACCTAATAATGGTCATTTACCAGTGCAGTGCTCATCTGTGGTAAGTTCTTGAGTTTTCCAATTGCAAAAAAAGAAAGATGAATATAAAGGCAATGAAGAACACCCTGATCACTGGAGAAACTTTAGTTTTATACCAGATTGCTTAGAAGAACATATTCTCACATCTAATTTTTGAAACTTATCATTTCTCCTCAGAACTCAAAACCCTCTTATTGAACACAAAATCTCATTTTTCTTGTTTGCTTTTCATCAGAGTTCACAGGCAATTTTTAAACATTTTATCATTGTGTATATATATATATATATATATATATATATTTAAATTTTTTCTTACCTAATTAGTACACATTCGAAGTATTATAGTACAAATAATTATCAAATTAGCCATATGAATATACACAAATTTAAGCCCATGGAAACTTTATAGCAAAGTAACCTAAATTAAACAATCAAACAAAAACTATCACATGTGTACATCACTCATATTTTACATCTCATATTTATTTATTTATTTATTTATTTATTTATTTTGTTTGGGTCTTTCTCCTTTTTATCGGTACCAGGGATCAAACTCATGACTGACTGCTTGCAAGGCAGGTGCTTATGCCGCTGAGCTAAATCCCCAACCCCTTATATCTCATATTTTAATTAATAATCAAGCACAGAAGAAAATACATAACATACTCAGTATATTCATGCACTCAAGGATTAAGAGTTTGTTATGGTTGATACATTGTGTGAACTTGAGAAATATAGAAGTTTAACTAAAAGACTCAGCAGGGACCCAAGGTGGTTACTTTGTAAGTATACTCATCTTGTGCAAGAGGAGGGCAAGGAGATTTTGTGAGTGTTACACTTACAGGGAGAGGGGAGGTGTACTATAAAGGAAGCAAAGAGGCTTGTTCTTTTCTCCCTTTGGCTCTTGGAGCTTTTGCTGGATACTGGCTTAGAAGTGGTGCAACTGTGCCATGCCACCTGCCTTGGAGCCAGTTGATTATGGACTGACATCTCCACAAACTCTGAACTAAATAAACCTTTCATTTCTTCATTTTAGGTGTCAGGTACTTTGTTCCAGCAATAAGAGAAAAGTAACCAAGACAAAATTTGGTACTGAGAGTGGGTAATTTTGGTGGCTACTACTGACCATGTGGTTCAAGAGCCTTTGGAAAT